GTAAAAATGACTTCGTCTCTTCTGGAGAGGCCCGAAGGATTTGGCGGTCTGAAATTTGGGCTTAATGTTGTAAAGTTTATTGTTTTTTGTTGTTGTTTTTTTCCAATGGGTCTCCCACGGACTGGAGGTGTAGTTTTTGAGTTTATTTATAAAGTCAGTCTGCGAGAGAGTGTTCGTCGCTGATCCCAACAGAAGGGATAGGGATTCCTTTGCCAGGTGATCTACCTGCTCGTTTCCTTGGATGCCCACATGGCTAGGTATCCATGCGAACATGATACTTTTCCCGGTTTCAGTCAAGGCGTGTATTTTTTGTTTTAGCCCAACTATTTTTGGGTGTAGGAGCGTGTAGTTTGTATGTGAGGTGATGCAAGACAGAGTCAGAAAGGATAAAGGAAAGATTTGTTAGGAGAATCTTCTACTTCTACGGAGTCCAGTGCCATGTCAAAGGCAGTGGCCTCCGCTGAGAAAATGGAGTCTTCGGGATGGAGTCTCCTCTGGTGTGTACACTGTTTGGCTGCGGCGCCCACACGAGAGTCCGATTTGGAGCCATCTGTGAACAAACAACCCCCGAAATCTGTCTTAGCCCGCTTGTCCTTAAAAGCGACCAATTACACTTACAGCATAGATTTCTACAAAGGAAAAAAAAAACAACGTAAAAATTAAAAAGGACACATTATTTTCATCACTTTCACTTTAACGGATGCCTTTGAACCAGTGGCGTCGCGTGGGTTGCAGACAAGGTGGTGCTTAATTGGAAAATGAGCTAATGGGCAATAGGCTTAGTAGTTACTACTATTAAGATTTCTACAGAAATTCAATTAGAACCTGCAGGATATCCTGTAATTTACATCGATATTTACAACTGTTTCTAGATGAAACCCCATAAAAGCTGCGATAAAGTGAAACAATACTAACAACTCACTAAGCTCACAATCTGAGAAGATTCAAAGATTTCTAATTACTTATTGCAGCACCAGGACTTGCTACGCAATAGAGGGAGACAACGTTTCGATACCCATTCTTCATTGAGTTACCGTAGACTACTTACTAGTTTCTAGATCTAGTGTAGTAAATAAGCTCGCGGAAACTTGGATCAAATGTTTTGCTTGTACCAAATTGGTGCCGCGAAGAGGAGTTTCACCAAAGATAGTAAATAGCAAGATGGGCCACTCCTCTCTCTTTGAGCCAATTAAAAAAGTGTCCTCAAAATTCGGTGGCGCCCCCTTCGCAAATGCGCACCCTTTGCGAACAGAGTTACCCTACTTGAGTTTAAAAAATCAAAGTGAAACTAGCAAGTTTTTAAAAATAAATTTCGGAAGAACACTTTTTTAAAATGGCTACGCAGACAAAAAACCTCTTCCGGAGGAAAGGGTGTTTGTTTTCTTCGTTTAATTTGACTTTAGAATGAAAGACGAGAGGTCATTAAAATAAATCAAAAACACCTAAAACTCCGCACTGAACGAACCCGAACTGCTGATGAACCTCAGTCGATCTGAGCAAGCAAGGGGGTGCTATTCCTATTCTTCTTCTGGAAAAACGAAAGAGAGCTTCAATACAGACTGCAGCGCGATCTGAAACAAAGAGCGAACTTCCGGAGGACACTTTTTTGGCTGAGTGGCCCATCTTGTTATGTAGGCTACTATCTTTGGTTTCACGCACCTTTCTTCTTGTGCGGGAAGAACGACGCCTAGATTTCTCTACAGTGACAAAAATAACTGGTGCAAAGATTTTGCTTGCTCCCACTCCCAGTCCCAGCAGACACTCCCGAGCGGTGCGGCGAGCACAAAAACCATCCTCGCCGTCTGTCTCTTCACTGGCGCAGCCAGCGGGTGACGGATCGCAAGGATGAGATCTGGAGCACTGACTGGTTTAGAACAATTAAAAAGGGGGAGGGGAGGGAGGGGTGACGGCCAGGGTTAGGTGGAGCGCTTGCACCAATTGCATCAATGGCGCCCCGCCACTGCTTTGAACTTTGAAACACGATCCAAAAGACATAAGTACTTTTTACGACAAACATGGAGACGTCTTGATGGTTTTTTGAGGAAATTATCTACAAGTACAAGCTTTCACTTAATAAACTTAAAAATGTGGGGCAGAATAGTGTAGCTGTCTCAAAATGAGCGATTTATAGGCTAGGTTACTAAAGTGTAAATCATCTAGTTCTAGCGTGGTGATCTTGTGTGTGCATCCAGGGGGCAGTGTTAAGTACGTGTATTACAATTATTGAGCTCAAGTAAGGAAACTTTTAAAAAATCAATAACTGAATCAAAGAGTCATTTGTCTGGTTGCTGGTCTACAGACGTGCCGTGTAAAGTTGTGTGCGAATTGGCGAATTAATAAAGAGATATAATTTTTTTTTTCAAAATATGGACAGACAAATACTAATACAGATGAAGGAGCTTTATTAGCTTCTTTGCTGTTGCACGCAGAAGGCGTCTGTTTGAATCTCGCTTACTACATACTAGGGCCTATGGTGTTGGGGTTACACACTTTACTGTCGCATACAGGAAACTCAGAGTTCTATTCTGGAGTGGGGATAACATTTTTATCGAGTAGTTTGAATCCCTCTCCTCTCAGTCTCAGCCTGCCTCTCCAATGATCCAAATTCTATCGATGGGGGGTATAAAAGAACTCATACAACCCCACCCCCACCCCCTCTCAAAGAAAAAAAAAACTCAAACAAATCTGTCTTGGCGAAGCCATTTTATTCTTTGACTCCCTTTGTCTGCTGGGATGCTGTGCTTCATAGTGAAGGAGAGTAGAGAAGAGGTGGTGTGTCAGGGATAGAGGGAGAGTAGAGGTGATGTGTCAGGGATAGAGGGAGAGTAGAGGTGATGTGCCTGGGAATTCAGGGGCAGAGGGAGAGTAGAGGTGATGTGCCAAGTATAGAGAGAAAGTAGAGGTAATGTGTCAGGGATAGAGGGAGAGTAGAGGTGATGTGTCAGGGATAGATATAGGGAGAGTAAAGGTGATGTGCAAGGGATAGAGATACAGTAGAGTAGAGGTTATGTGCAAGCGATAGAGGGTGAATAGAGTAGAGGTGATGTTTGTTTTAGTAAAAGTTTTACGGCGCTCGCAACTGCAGGACATACGAGAGCGCGAAAAAAGTTGGTTCTATTCGCAACAGTATACTGCACAGACTGATTTTGGTCTATATTTCTACATTATATTTTTGTACATGTATTAAAATGTTAAAATGCTAAACTTCGGGGGTAAATAAATTCTTGATTTAAAATAACTTTTTAAATAACATTAACATTTTTAAACGGTTTTCATAATTCTCCTTAAAGGCCAATGGCCTTTATAAAATTAATGATTTGACCTCCGTAATGATTTTGTTGGGATCAACGACAGAAAACAGATCTTGTAATTTTTTGCATTTATATATTTCCTTCGGGTCACTCCAAAGTCTAGACATTCTGTTAAAATGCATATGATATGTGTGTATAATGGTAAAATCTGAGTCACATCCGACACAGAACGGCTTCTCATCTCCCTAAAGAAGGTATTGTACATGTTTTTATGTACCAGGAACATGTGTCCTATGCGTAATCGAGTAAAAAAAGACTTCGTCTCTTCTGGAGAGGCCCGAAGGTTTTCGCTGACCCTGTTTTGGGTTTAATGTTGTGGAGTTTGTCGTTGGTTTATTTCTTCCAATGCGTCTCCCACAGGCTGGAGGTGTAAGAGTAGAGGTGATGAGCCAGGGATAGGATAGAGGTAGAGGGAGAGTAGAGGTGATGTGTCAGGGATAGAGAGAGAGAGAGAGAGAGAGAGAGAGAGAGAGAGAGAGAGAGAGTGTAGAGGTGATGCGTCAGGGGTACAGGGAAAGTAGAAGAGATGAGCCAGGGATAGAGAGAGAGTAGAGGTGATGAGCCATGGATAGAGTGAAGGTAAAGTAGGATGATGTGCAAGGAATAAAGGAAGCCTTATATATGACATTGACTTCTGTTTTACAAATAAAACAAAGGTGAAGATATAAACAAATTCAACAATTTATTAACATCACACGTAATGCAAAAATGTCTGAAACTGAAACACATCTGAATGCATTTTCAACCTTCAAATTCAAAGAATCAAAAAGACTAAAAAATCAATAACGTACTGCTACACAATGTTTCCTGACAACATGTTTTTTGGAGCTAATCATGATTAATTCTATTTTAAACCATAAAGTTTACTTGTAAAACCTATTTTGAAGTCTAAATATAAAATTTACAGAGAATGAGAGATTTTAAATGAATATATATGATTATGAACCAAGGTCAAAAGGTGCCTCGCCGACGGCAACTATTTTGAAAAATAAATTTGCACCTCCTTACAGCATGTGCCATCAAGGGTTTTTCTTTACAAACTCTCAAGTAAATGAGATAAAGATATGGTATCAAATAGCAAATTGCTCTTGCATGGTTCATGAATTCATTTGATCTTTTATGAAAATGCCTCGATTTTTAGTGCGTGTTCCAGTGCTCACTGATGGTGAGGCCCTCAAAGATTTTGGTGCATGGTTAGGTTATCCATTACTTCCCAGTAAAAAAAAAAAGTTCATTTAGACTCAAATTTCAATTAAAATCACGGAGAAATAAACAAGCGATGGTTGATTGAAAAATCAGGTGTCTCTTACGACGTACGGCGTCATCACCACCCTGTATCATTAATTATCTGAGAATGTTTTTCAGTATTTTTTCATCCGTTCTTGCTGGTGAATTTTTATGACAGAGCATCAAACTCTACAAAATGGTACCTCTAAAGTGGGTCTAAAATGAATTTCGTTAATATGTAGGGGAGGTGGTGGAGACTTAAGACAGGGTTGATTGCCAGATTTCTACTTGGACCATAATCTTGTGGATAAGCGCTTGTGTAGCATAGTCATAGCAACACGAAAGCGATCGTTATCGGCCAGTACATGCTGATAGGCGCAGGGGAAATAACTCTAGTAATACAGTGAAACAGGGTAGCCAATTTGGCAGATTTTCTGCCAAATGTCTTTTTTTTAGGCAGAATTTGAAGTCGTCTGGCAGAAAAAAAACAACGGTTTGGCAGTTTGGCAGATATTTGGCAGATTTTATTTTCTGAGGCCTAGGAATGAACGCTTTTACTTTTACAGCACTAACATTGTCTCAATTAATTCAGTCTGATGATTTGATTGTGCCAAAACTACAAAATAGGTCTAATCACTTGGTTTGATTAACCAGATTTTTGTGGCAGGTTCACCGACAATTTCCTGCCCAGCCAGTTCAGTCAGCTATTTCGAGATCCGCTTTTTTTGTGGTTTCACTTTCAATTTCACGATTCACTTTTCTTTGAATTCTAGGTCCAGGCCTATTCTGCTAGCTCACGTGGGAAGGGTCTAGAATCTAGATCTAGTGGGTAGGGGGGAGTGGGGGCACAGTGGATCACGGGGCACAGTGAATCAAATTAAATTATGAAAAATGCGAATGCCATTTAAGGTGAAGCCAACTTCCTTTTGGACTGCATCATTGTCCTCCATCTTGGAAAGCACCAAATTTGAATCAACTCCTCTGGCCTGCTTAGAAACTTGGTAAGTACCTTTTTTTTTGCATACAAAAGTAAATTTTAGAGTCCTGACATATTTTGTTATTGCTCAAACACTTTAAAGAAGATTTGAAAATATTCAATACCAACAAAAAGAGTATTGTTTTATCACATATTTGTCACTAACACGCTCATCTAGGATACAATCTTGCCAAGCTTAGCGAATCAAACATGTTTCACTGCATGAGGGGGCACAGTGGATCGGGGCACAGTGGATCAGTGATCCACTGTGCCCCTGGTATAGTAGGTGAACAATCATAGCTGTTGAGGCTTTTTGTTAAGGTTTTTTTGGATCTGATCTTTGTCTTTGCTCCTCTCTGTGTGTCCTCAGATCTACTCAAGCTGTCAAACTCATCAAAATCATGGTTCGAAACAGACCAGCAGGTCGAAAAATAGGAAACGTTGCTCCTGAAGACATGAAAGCTGCTGTTGAGGATGTTCTTTCTGGAGGCTCTTCTATCAGAGCAGTAAGCGCCAGGACTGGAATTGGATTTTCAACCTTGAATCGATGGGTGAAGAAGGCCAAAAGTAGTGAAGATCCTGAGGCCCTCAGCTATTCACCTCATTACAACTGTCGTCAGGTTTTTAGCGAAGCTGAGGAAAATGCACTGAAAGATTACATCCTCACCGCTTCCAAAATCCATTTTGGACTCACAACGAAACAGGCTCAGGAGCTTGCATATGAGTTTGCAGTCAGCAATAACAAGACATTCCCTGAACCGTGGACGAAAAATAAGAGCGCAGGAATAGACTGGTTCCAAAGTTACATGAAGCGACACAAAGACTTGTCTCTCAGGAGGCCAGAAACAACAAGCCTCTCGCGCGCTACCAGTTTCAACCACGCCAACGTCTCAAAATTCTACAACAATCTGGAGGAAGGTTTCACAAAGTACAAATTCTGTCCCCTAGACATATACAATTGTGATGAAACAGGCTGTAGCACTGTTCAAAAAGTAGGCAATGAGAAAGTTATTGCAAGCCGAAAGGAGAGACAAGTAGGAAAAGTAACCTCAGCTGAGAGAGGAGTATTGGTTACTATGTTGTGCACCATCAGTGCTGCAGGGAATACAGTCCCACCTTTCATGGTCTTTCCAAGGGTGCATTTCAAACAAACAATGACACATGGAGCACCTCCAGGCACAACTGGAACAGCATACACCAGTGGTTGGATGACCAAAGATTCATTCTATGAATACATGGAACATTTAATAAAATCCACCAAATGCTCAAAGGACCACCCAGTGTTGCTTATACTGGAAAATCACGAAACACACCTGTCTCTTAAGACAATTGACAAAGCAAGAGACAACGGAGTTGTGATGGTCTCTTTGCCGCCTCACTGCAGCCACAAACTGCAGCCATTGGACTGCTCAGTCTACGGACCTTTCAAGTCCTATTACAACCAGGCATGCAGCGTTTTCATGGTCAACCACCCAGGACAGTCAATCACCATTCACAACGTCGCAGAAATTGTTGGCCAAGCTTATCCACAGGCATTCACACCCAGAAACATCATCGCTGGCTTTCAAGTGACTGGCATGGCCTTTCAACCCAAACAAATTCACAGAGGAGGACTGTCTTTGTGCATACGTCACTGATCGCCCCCTGAGTCCTTCGACTTCTGCACAATCTTCCAGTGCCACTGACTCTGCCGCCCCGGCAACACCCTCAGCAGCCGCCCCGGCAACACCTTCACCAGCCGCCCCCGCAACACCCACACCAGCCGCCGCCACATTCTCAACAACTGAAGCAAAGAAAGCATCAACGTCATCTGGAAACACCTCTGCTGTGGGCCTCATTTCCCCTCACATTATTCATCCCTTCCCCAAAGCTCCCCCCCCCCCCCCCCCCCCCCGAAAAACAAAGGGTGGTAGAAAGCGAGGCAGTTCCATGATTGCCACCTCGACCCCTGAGAAAGTCAGGATTCAAGATAATGAAATGAAAAGGAACAATAAATCTGCAAAGTCTTCAAAATCGAAGCAAAGGTTACCATTTACTGCCCCAATGGCAGAAAGAAGTGACTCTGAGGAGGACAGTGACAGCATTCCATATGACGATGACTCTTCGGATTATGAAAGTGGGGATGGTTTAGATCACGCGAACAGGATTCATGAACCGGATGTCAAGGAGTTAAACCCTGATGACTTTGTTTTAGTTCAATTCGAAACAAAGAAGACAAAGCTTGTGTATGTTGGGAAAAGTCTTAACAAAAGCAGGGATTCGGAAACCAATGACACAGTTTTTGAAATCAAGTTTCTCCGCAGAGAGAAACCCAGTGCTTTCTCTTTCGTCTTCCCACAGGCTGATGATACTTCAGAAGTAACACTTGACCAAATCGTTGGCAAACTCCCAGACCCCAAAGTTCAAGGCGGCACAGCTCGTGTAGCAAGACACTTCTCATTTGATGTGAACTTTACTGTTTATGCCAATGAACTTCGCTAGTTTGATTTTATGTTTGCATTTTGTCGACTGAGGCAGTGTTTAGTCCTTTGCAAAGTTGGCTTTTACAACCTTTTAAAGTTTGCTTTTTTAAGTTCCACAACATTATGTGGTGAAGAGTTATTGAATTTTGATGCTCGTGGCATTTATGTGTTAAAAAAGCGCATGATTCACTGTGCCCCTTGGCATGATTCACTGTGCCCCTTGGCATGATTCACTGTGCCCCCACTCCGGGGCACACTGGATCAGAGGGGGCACAGTGAATCAGTGCTTATAGGCCTACCTTCTTTGATTGATTGAGAATGCACAAGCTGTTCATGCATAATAAAATTTGATTTCTCCTTCTGCTAACAAAAAGTTATTGAATTAATTTGCTTTACAACTTTGAACAAAATTCCTGTTTGAATTTTTTTGATCCACTGTGCCCCCACTCCCCCTACATCTATCTAGTCGTAAGAAAGCATCATGGCATCGAAGTGGAAATGAGCGTATGATAGTGAACGAAACTTTCAGAAAAAATGGGAAGAAGAGTTTCCTTGGCTACAAAAAGCACCTGGTAGCAGTGACAGAGCCTTTTGCAGGTACGTGTACATGCTAATTGTAATAGTATACACACAACATAGATATATAGAGAGAGAGAGAGAGGGGAGAGAGAGAGAGAGAGAGGAGAGAGGGGAGAGAGAGAGAGAGAGGAGAGAGGGGAGAGAGAGAGAGAGAGAGAGAGAGAGAGAGAGGTCTTAGAAATGTTAATTTTGTAGGCTCTTAGGGTTTTACGGCGCTCGCAACTGCTAAGGTCATATGAGCGCGCGAAACACAAGTTGTTTACTTTCGCAAAAGTTCACTGCACGGTTGGTTAGCCTTTAGCCTTTAAAATGTTAAAATGTTATAAAAAATCAGTGTACATCTAGATATATATATATAATTTTTTTTATCTTAAACAATTTTTTCTTGTTATAGGCATTTCAGTGAAATTTTCAAACTTCTCCGAGGGCATTAAAATTTAGATTATTGAAAAGAGCTTGGCTTTCTGTTTTCAGAGCTTTTAAAATTTTTGCGCTATCTTTGTTAGTTTAGAAGCAGCGACCCTTTTTGTGAATCAATTTTCGCCCTGATTTGGCCAAATTTTTGCACTGCATTTTGTGCCACCAAAACTCGAAATTTTGCTTCACAAAGTCATAAAATCCTTAATAATAGTTGTATCGTGACCATTGAGGTATCATTTTGTTTGCTGTTTTATGTAGAATCAATATATAAAATTAAAAGTCAAGTACATTAAGAGTAACATTTTATTTACCGTTTAATTACGTCATAATCGTGACGTCGGGAGTCCAATGCCTGTTATCCCAAAAAAGATACGGGCACACTTTCCATAATAATGGTCCGATTTTCAAAAGAAAAATATCACTCATTTTGTTTTAAAGAGTTCTGTAACTTGCTATAGGGGAAAATGATTAAAATTGAAAGCAGTTTCAATCTTACAGGCATAACTCAAGCAGGAGGTTGGCGGGTGCTCTGGGGTGTGGTTTGTTCCTTTTTTCCTTATTAACAATCAACCGTCCTTATCTCTCCTCGTTCTTTTCTGTGTATGTTACTCTCTTGTAACACCTCTAATCTTCGGGGCTTGTAAGAATTATTTGTGTTGCAAGTGCGTTAAACCCAAGCATAACGCAGACTTGAAGAATATGAAAAAAATTCAACGAGTATGGTATAAAGCGGGAAATCACCATAGCATTATGACAATTACTGAGGGTCATCAAATATATATATATATATATATATATATATATATATATATATATATATATATATATATATATATATATATATATATATACACACACCCCATGCAATGGCTCATGTCCCGAAGAACAGCGACACCAGTTCTATGATCTACTGAGTGAATTTTTAAACATCGTGGATGACAAAGATAATGTGACAATGATGGGGGACTTTAACGGCAGAGTGGAAACAAGGAAGACGACGTGGAAGACATACATGCGGCCACACAGTGACAGGGATACAGATCAAAACAGCAATGGAGAAATGAAATTACATTTGTGTGCAGAACATGAGCTCGTCATATCAAATACCTTCTTCCAACACAAAAGGAGTCAAGTTAAAACTTGATAGGGGGCCTACAAAAGCAATGATCTAAAGATAGCATCACAAATTGATTTTATCCTTGCCAAAAGATCGAAACAGAGAAAAACAGAGACTCAAGAGTGATTCCCATCTACATCACAGACACTGACCACAGACCAGTCATCATGACTATTTATTGACACACCAAACAGGAAAAGGCCAGAAGCAAAGAAACGATGGGAAGTCGTAAATCTCAGAAATATAAATGACAATAACAAGGATAAGATACATGAACGTTTGAACGATTTATTTCACAAATTTCCCCCAAAATTGGGAGACATGGAAGAGGAATGGAGCCACTTCAAAGCATGTGTGTACAGAGCATTGAAAGAAGAGTTCGGCACCAGGAAAAAAAGAGGGCAGAAAAAGAAAACAACTATATGGTGGAATGACCAAGTGAAGGAAGCCGTCTTACTGAAGAAAGGGGCATTTAAAAAGTGGTAGAAAACAAAGACGGAGGAAGATTACATCCTATACAGAAAGAACCGCCGCTATACATCAAGGGTAGTAAAAGAAGCTAAGAACAGATCCAGGTCAGTATACGGAGAACAGCTGGTAACAAAATGTAAAGAAAACCTTTGAGAGTTTTACTAGAGAGTTGAAAAAGCATGAGGATGCGGGAAGAACCATTCAACCAAACTGAAATAGTCAATGATGAGCACGGAAAACCCTATTTTCAGAAAGCCAAAGATTAAGGAAAGATAGAAACGCTATTTCCAGGAGCTGCTGAATCCTACAGCAGAAACAACAGCAAACAGCTTCTCACCGAAAGAAACCACTCCAGAACCATCACTACTGCAGAGTGAAACCCAACATGTTATAAAGAATAGCCCCACAAACAAAGCGATAGGCATAGAAAACATCACAGCAGAAGAGATCAAACTATACGGCCATATCGGAGTACTCTGGCTATGGAGGATATTTAACCTGGGTTTTTTTTTGCATTCGGACAGTTGTGTGAGACTGCCATTGGACCTCAATATCATCTTCATGGACCAAGAAAAGGCGTTTGACAGGGTAAACAGATGTCAACTTTGGGAAGTCTTAGAGGTTTTAGTAGCGGTTTTACGGCACCCGCAACTGCATAAGGTCATATGAGCGCCAAGGGGTGGATGTCAACAGAGAAGTCCTTACAGGGAATCAAACTTACTCTGCTCACCTTTCTAGCTTCTACAGCACAAAGTCTGCTTAGACTATCAAGGTACCCCGGAAACAGCGGGTCACAAGAGTGTGACAAACATACAAAAGAAGTAGAGGAAAATGACGATAGTAAGGATTAGGAAAGAAAAAGGCGCAGTTCCCTGTTGCAGTTCAGGCATAGTTATGAGCATGCCATTGTTCGATCAGCCCATTTACAATTCTACTGTGCATTAGAACGTCCCCTGTTTTGGAATGGCATAAAGACACTTCCGTCAGTGGCATCGCCCCGGGGGGTAGTCTTAGAGTAATATGGTGTTAAAGGACAATTGCTCAAGAACATCATGGCACTTTATAAAAACAGCCGGTGTGCCGAAAGGTCAACAGAAGGACTACCGGACTGTTTCCCCATCACGTCTGGGGTGAGACAAGGGTGTGTTCTCTCTCCGCTTCTCTTCATCACTTACATGGATAAGATCACGAAAGCAGCAAATGACAACATCAATGAACTGAGCGAGCTTCTATTTGCTGATGACCAGAGTACATTAAATACAGAAGAAGAAGAATCACAAAAAGACACCACAAAATTAATTAATGAAGAATGTAAACACATAAACATCACAATTTTCATTTCAAAAACAGAAGTTATGAAGGCAAGAAAAAAACCCAGGGAAACTCAACATCCTTGTTGACGGAACACAACTCCAACAAGTAGAGGAATTTAAATATTTGGGAAGCATCTTCTCACTAGATGGGCGTATGGACAAAGAAAAAGAACTATGAAGGCAAATGCAGTGACCTACCAGCTAGCACCCCTTCTCAGTCACAAGAACATCCCAACTGAAGTGACATCCCCAGCTCATCAATAGAATATTCATACCAACATTAACATACCAGTGCCAAACATGGTCTCTAAACAAGGCATGAGAAAGGAAAATCAATGCACGCGAAATTAGGTGTCTCCGCAAAACCACCAACGTCACCAGAGAAGACCGCATGAGGAATGAGACCATACGTCTACCAGTAGTAAATTTATTAGAGCGTCAAAGAGTCAAATGGTTCAGACATCTAACCAGAATACCCCAGAAACAACTAGCGGCTAGAGCTTACCACACCCGCGAATCCGGCTTTAAATTAAGAGGAAGACCAAGAAAGACCTGACTGGATGGGGTTAAAAAGGCCCTGGAACAATATAAGTAATTAGCATATCTATCACAGACACCGAAACCTGCACCTCCCCTCGACATCCTAAGGATACCAGAGGAAGGAAAAAGTTTTTAAAAAGTAAGAACTGAGGAGCAAAAGTGCTCACTTTGTTGCAACTGGCATCTTCCTTCAGGGTTGTTTCATCAGTGGAAAAGAGTAATAGGCTTACACAGCTAATACCGTGAGTCGTGGAAGGATGGCGGCGGTGCGCTTTTCCCTTTCGTCAACCCGCAGCCACCTCCGAATCGTCAGCCACCCCCAACCTTTGACACGGGTCAAACTTCCATCTATTTATAGGTAGTTAAATCTACCGGAACATGTATTAGGCGAAGTGATGTGCAATGATAGTCGCAATAGAGAGATTGTTTTGGTCTCTCTTTACTCATCTGCACCACACGAATTTAATTGATGTTTTCCCCTGGACTCTGCCTTTACTAAAGTCTCGAATCTAGATCTAGTTGTTATCTAATTGCAGGTTGCAGATTTAATAAATTGCCGAGAGAGAGAGAGAGAGAGAGAGAGAGAGAGAGAGAGAGAGAGAGAGAGAGAGAGAGAGAGAGATAAGGGGGAGGAGTAGATCTTGCGAGAACTTTCGGGCAAAACGAAATGGTGACCCGCGTAGTTCGGTCGATTCGAAAAGTGAAAGAGCCATAGCATCTTTGTAGACGATCAAATTAGCTTACTTTTGTGCTATAACGTCATTTTTTTTCTTTGCCTTTGTCAATTTGATCATCCACACCGATAGAAAGCATTTCGAAATTAGGAAAAACAGGTCTTGTTTCACACTGGGTGAGAATAGCCAACGCTGGCAAGTCTCACCCGGGGTGAGAGGTCAATCGTAGGGTTTTTATTCTCACCCCGGGCGAGGATAGCAATGGCCACTTCCTTACTTAAATGATTAGGTGATTAAACTTGATCTCTTATTGACAATATAAAAGTCAATTTAAGCATCATTTCGTTAGAAAACAATGTGTTAGGCTTGCTAACTTCATAGACTTTGTGTTAAACAACACTTTTAACAAAACGAATCCTTACAAGCCTAGGCTTGGCCTTTGTAATCTCGAAGGTTTAGAAGTAGAAGAAGAAGAGTCTACTACTAGATCTAGAGTCTAGTCCAATTTATTTAATCTCTGGAATGTACTGGATAACAACAGAAATCTGCAACCTGCCACTAGATTACAACTCTAGATCTAGATCTAGATCTAGATTCGAGATTTTAGCAAAGGCAGAGTCCAGGGAAAAACTTCAAGAAATTCTCGTGGTGATGAGTAAAGAGAGACCAAAACAATCTCAATAAATAATATATCGCGACTATCACGGCACATCACTTCACCTATACATGTTCCGGTAACTACCTATAAATAGATGGAAGTTTGACCCGTGTCAAAGGTTGGGGGTGGCTGACGATTGGGAGGTGGCTGCGGGTTGACGAAAGGGAAAAGCGCGGCGGCGGTGGCGATTATAAGACAAATAAGACAAGAAGGATATATAATAGAGAAAATGTATAAAGTTGAAGAGCAGGTAAAGTGGGATGGAGAAGAAAAGAGAGGTACGGTTATGAAAGTAAAAGGGGAGTGGGAACACACGAAACCACACACACACACACACACACACACACACACACTCACACACATACACACACACCCAGAGAGAGAGAGAGAGAGAGAGAGAGAGAGAGAGAGAGAGAGAGAGAGAGAGAGAGAGAGAGAGAGAGAGAGAGAGAGAGAGAGAGAGAGAGAGAGGGGGCGGGGCATGTAGTGGATCCCACAATCCAGTACATATCATTTTTCGTTCTTGTTCATACGACAGAAAAGAAAGAAAATCTGGATCGGTACTAACAATAGACCTAAGAAACTATATCAAACAAATAATTGCATCAGATACTTTAATAGGCGTTCCTATTTAATTTTTTACTGTGTTAACAACACTAGTAGGGACTCTTCATACTACTAATACTAGATCTAGGCCCTAGGCCTACGCAATGAAAGGCTTTGGGCAGGGGAAAAAAGGAGGGAGGAAGAGCTCAGTGAAAAGGAAATACTTGGGTCTAAAAAGTCTCGTTTTCTTTATAGGCCTACTATCGAATGAACTAAGGCACAATGTGAGGTCAGTGATTATAAAACATTACCAAAATTGATTAACTTTTTGAACTAAAGTTTAAAAATCTCTTGGCGATGTATTTCCCTGTCTCGTACATTTCAAACAATGAAGAGAGGGAGCCAATAGCTGAAGGCGAAAATGTGTGACGTCACGACTCTGCGCGATGTCGCGGTGGAAGGGTTCAGCTAGGTTTTCGCGGATTTGGTTGATAAAAGGGTAAGACTACACTAGCCAAGGTAAGACTTCTATGATAACCATTTAAACGTTTTCTGGAAGAACAAAGAATGGTTTACCAACAAGGGTAGTTTGAAAAAAATATGACGAGAAAATTTATCAAAAATCAATGGTTAAAAATTGTCTATTTTTCAACTTCAAATATTTCGAGACTCATTAGTCGCACATCGACCTGGAAAGAAGCGCTTTGAAGGCCATCCACAGGTCTTTAAAGACATGTATCGGACTTGAATGTTGGTCCCCTAAATTAAACAAAAATATGGGCAGTTTGAACCCACTGTCGCGATGAGACGTCATGTCCGGAAACAAAACCCTATGGGACTTTCCGAAGCCAAATGACGCCATAGTGAGCGCGTTCACTGAAGTGCCTATGACTGAGCATAACATTTTTTATTTGTATCAATTTCACTCTACAACTCGCCATAAAGGCCAATGGCCTTTATAAAATTCAAAATTCTGCTGGGAACAACGACGGAAAAAATGTCTTGCAATTTCTTGCATTTATAATATTTCCTTCGGATCTCTCCAAAGTCCAGACATTCGGTTAAGATGTGTCTAATGGTAAAATCTGTGTCGCATCCGACACAGAATGGCTTCTCATCTCCTTGTAGGAGGTATTTGTGGGTCAGGGCTGTGTGTCCGATGCGCAATCAAGTAAAAATGACTTCGTCTCTTCTGGAGAGGTCCGAAGGATTTCGCTGTTCCAGTTTGGATTTTATTTCATATAGTTTATTGTTTTTCTGCTTTTCCCAGTGGCTCTCCCACAGACTGGAGGTGTACTTTTTTACTTTATTTCTAAAGTCAGTTTGTGGGAGAGTGTTTGTCGTTGATCCCAGCAGAAGGGATGAAGCTTTCTTCGCCAGGTCGTCTACCTCCTCGTTTCCTCGGATGGCTATTGTCAGACAACACAAACAGCTGTATTGCCATACTGCTTTTTGTAAGATTCTTCCTTTCTATCTCTTCTCCCAACCACAGACACTGCAATGCAGACATTGCTCCCAGACACAGTGTTCTTAAAGACCATGAAAAGGCAAAGAAACATAAAAGGTTTCCGCAATGAACACTTCGGCCCTTCTCAGTGTAGTCAGAACACCCCGTGCGGAAAAGAAAACTGTCCCAACTGAGCAAAAAGCAGCGGAAATTGAATTGGCTGTTTTTGTGGCTTGCCACTCATCTATTAGTATTAGAGCAGTGGACCATTTGGGAGAATGGATACGTCAACGTGGAGCCGGCAGCACACTTGGCAATTTGCAATTACATCGAACCAAATGTGCGTCGATCATTAGGAATGTTCTTTCACCTGCATTGAAGGATGAACTGAAGAAGGCAGCTGGTGGGAAAAAATTCACCCTAATTGTGGACGAGTCAACAGATGTAGGATGCCTGAAACTGTTGTGCCTCATTATTAGGTATGTGGACAGCGAGAAAGGAGTTGTGGACGCTTTTCTGGGCCTAGTACCGGTACTGGAAACTAATGCTGAGACACTTTTCCATCCCATGAAGAATGAGTTGGAGACCTTTGGTTTGAGTTTGAAGGACTGCGTAGGCTTTGCGAGCGACGGTGCATCCGTCATGGTAGGGGTTAAGAACAGTGTGTGGACAAGGATCAAGAATGTTTCCCCCAACTGCATACAGATGAAATGCATTTGCCACTCACTGGCCTTGTGCATGCAACATGCTTTTGCGAAACTACCATCTAATCTTGTTTTTTTGCTCACAGAGGTGCCATCTTGGTTTTCCCACAGTTGCCTTCGGCGGGATGCTTTTCAACGAATCTTTGACACCCTGAATGCTAATAGTGAATCAGAGAGTGGCGTATCCCACCCAACACCTTTCATGAGAGCATCAGCAACCAGGTGGTTAGTGAGAGGAAAGGTATTGTATAACATTCTTGTGAACTGGGAGGAGCTGGTATGCTACTTCAACATTGCTGAGCTGGAGAGTCCAAGTGACAGGAAGTACAAGGCTCGGTTGATAAAAGATATGCTGAACGACAGAATGAACTTCCTGCTCTTTCACTTTGCTACCCCTGTAGTGCAGGAATTTGAATGCATCAACGCAAAGTTTCAATCGAGCAATGCAGATCCCCGTGAGTTGTCCAAGGGGCTCATTACATTCCACAAGAGCTTGCGCTCCAGACTGTACAATCCTCTAGGAGAGAAAAAAGATATTGCAAGTTGTGACTTTGGGTACAAGTTTATATCCGAGTGTGAAAAGTACTTGACGAAGTTTCTGAAGACATGAAAGAAGCAGAAGTCAAAAGAGTTGCAGCGACGAAGGAAATATGTCATATGATGCTTGTGGAAGCTGTGCGTCAAGTTGAAGAGCGCCTGCCTCGCCTTGAGAACGTGTTTGCTGGACTAAGCCTTCTGAAAGTCTTGAACCAACTGGACAGGGCCCGGTTTGAGGATTTGCCTTTCCCTTATCTCTTCGGGGGGAAAGTGAGCACAATAGAAGAGCAATACAGAAGAATTGTTCTAGTCGATTGGTCATCTGAGCCTGTCTTCAAGGAGTCATCAGTTCCCAAGGAGACACTTCAATTTTGGGAAGGCATCAGGAAAACTCCAATGAAAGAGCTTGCAGAATATGCCCTCACCTGCCTTCTCCCTCCTGCAAGCAACGCTGGAGTCGAAAGAATGTTCTCTCTTGTTACCTCTACAAAAACAAAACCAAGAAACAAACTGGGTGTGGCTTCCCTAGATGCTATCATCCGTATAAAATCGCATGTCTTCAACCAGGGAAAGTGCTGCAACGATTTCACCGTGACCAGGCAGATGTTGGAGCTGTGTACCAGTGATATTCTATATATGCAGCTAACAGTAACACTGTGTGCCTGGGTGAAAGCAGTGAAGCTGAGACTTCTGCAACCAATGATGCAGATCTCGAGCAGTTTTTGTAAGAAACCGGCCTTTCTCTCTCAGTGTCTCAGATGGATCAGAAGACTTGACCATCGAATCAATTTATTTAGTTTCAACTGTGTGTGCATAAAACTTGCACAACTACATATGCATGTACATTGAATCACCGTTGGATTTCACTTTACGTTCCTGTTTGACATTCGTTTTTATTTAAATGAGTACCTTTGTGTATCTGATGCTCTCACAAACTTGGACTTTGAGTACTTTGAGTTGGAATTACTTGTAGGCCTACATGCAATTGACACTACAACAATAGATATATAATATACAGCATCACCTCATTATGTGGATGTAGATTGGATTGCTTCAGCTCCTCATCCGGATCATCACTGCAGTCAGGTAAGATTTTGCTACATTATTATTTATATCATGTATAGGTCTACTCCACGTTTTCCATGGCAATTTGTATGTATTAGTGATTTTTTTAAACTTGAGAAATGAAAAAATAATGTATGACATCGGCCTTGCGAATTTTTTGTTTAACAAAACTGATGAGTTTTCAAAGGGGGTAGGCCTACTATAAATAGTACGGTTTGGCAGATTTTTGTGGTATTTGGCAGATTTTTTTAAGGGTGACCTTATTTAGGCCACATATGGCCTAAATAAGCTAAACCCCCCTCCCTTACCTTATTTGGGCCACACCTGTGGCCTAAATA